CATAGTCCTTCTTATGTTTGCCGTGATCGTCATAAAAAGAAGGGGGTATCATCCGAGGCATGTGTTTTTTTTTCATTGGGCAGGCATCTAACGTGGCGGAAACCAAACCCAGCGCACGCGGGCCACTCCCAGTTGAATGGCTGTCAAAAGCTTTGCAGTATTGGGAAATGTACAAATGTAGTGGTCAAAAGCGAATATATCAACTAAATTAAATTCATAGCTCCACATACCTGTATAGTAAACCAAATAGCCGGACCATACGTTATTCAAAAAAAAAAAACAAAAGATGTGAAAAATAAACTTTTTTCCGTATACTCTGTAATATTCCTCCGCAATTTTTTAAGGTAAACTTACAATTTATAATCATTGCTTTGCAGCGAAATATCTTCTCCTAAATTATATACATAGGTATGTATAAATATAAAGTAATGAAGTAATAAAGAATTGAACTATAAATTTATTTATTTATTTCAATCCATTTTTGCTCATTGTAGACTGCAGCCAGGTTTTTACCCTTTTTAAATGGAAGTGCTTTGAAGTTAGAGAGAATAACTTGATACAGAACCGGATGATCAATATATCCACTTTTTAAATCAATTTACTAATTATTTTGTTAGCGTTGGGAGTATAATTTGTTATCAGTATATACATACATATATAGGAAAAACCTTGAAAGTTAGGGGGGCCGAAATTATCAAGCAAGCATTTCGTGGTACTATTTTTGAATATCTTGGCAAAAATTTGGAAGTTAGGGGGCCCTAGAGTTTTTTCAGCCTAAAACCATTGTTATGACACGTTCAAAAAAATCGGTTCAGCCGCTCTCGAGCCTTGCGAAAACTAACAAACGGCTTTCTAAGTACATATATATTAGTTGAGATATATTATATATTATAATTATATTTTGACAGTATCCGTTGTTTCTGATTGGCGCAAAAAAATCTTGCCTAGTGACGAATTCGCCCCTTGATATGGTCGTTACTTAAAGCTATTTATATTCGAAATTGCATGAAAATTGGAAAACAGGAATCTATAAGCTTATCCAGGCAAAAAGCTACCTACTTACCGAACTTTAAGCAAATCGGACCGTAAATACGATTTTTTCGAATAGATCAGTCCCTGGTCCACTTCTCGGAAAAAATTGACCATATATCCTAATATATGCTAAAAAACTACTTACGTACCGACTTTTAAGCAAATCGGACCATAAATACGATTTTTTGGAATAGATCGGTCCCTGGTCCACTTCTCGGAAAAAATTTATCACATATGCTAATACATGCTAAGAAGCTACTTGCGCACCGAATTTGAAGCAAATCGGACCGTAAATACGATTTTTTCGAATAGATCAGTCCCTGGTCCACTTCTCGGAAAAAATTTATCACATATGCTAATACATGCTAAAAAGCTACTTG